CAATGGATGGCTTCATTCATGCCATCCATTGTATACAAGTGTGTCTAGCTGTGAATGGTCACAGTGATCACATGCACAAGCTGGGCCAATCACAGCCCAGCTGTGTCATGTGATTAGCCATGGCCAATTCACAGCTAAGCACAAAAAAAAAAACCCTGAATGAATCGATATCATTCAGGTAAATGCTTGCTTATAGCAAAGTAATTCTTTGCTATAAGCAAATTGTTTAAAAAAAATAAATACTGATCACTTCCCCAAAGTAGTACAATGTTACTATGGTAACATTGTACTACATTGGTCATAGTGAAATATGAAAACAAAATCTTAAAAAAAAAAAAAAAAAAGTAATAAAAAATTAAAAATAATAAAAAAAATTAAAAAAAAATTATATTTTTTTTTTTTCATACTGTCACCAGTCAGTGTCCCTGATCACCGCCATGCCAGTTATATTATGACGCTGTACTGCACTGGTGACAGTATGTAAAAAAAAAAATAGTGAAAATAATTTTTTTATTTTTTAATTTTCCAAAAAATTATGACAAAAAAAATACAACTTCAAAAAACTCGCCATTCCTCTTATGAAATACGTCGGACTGTCTACTTTGCAAAAAGGGGTCATTTGGGGGATATCTGTACTGTTCTGACATTCTTGGACCTCAAGAAATTAGATTGGCTGTCAGTACTTCAGGATTGATCAATATTCAGATCTATACCATAGTTTGTGAACTCTATAACTTTCCTACAAACTAAAAAATACATCCTAATTTGGGTTATTTTCACCAAAGACATGTAGCACAATACATCTCGGCCTAAATTTATGAAGAACAATTATTTATTTATAAACTTTTATAACAGAAACAAAGAAAAATGTGGGTTTTTTTTCAAAATTTTCAGTCATTTTTTGTTAATTTAGCAAAAAATAAAAACCCCAATGGTGATTAAATACCACCAAAAGAAAGCTCTAGTTGTGTTAAGAAAATGATAAAATTTTAGTTTGGGTACAGTGTTGCATGACCGCGCAATTGTTATTCAAAGTGTGAGAGCGCTGAAACCTGAAAAATAGCCTGGTCAGGTGCCCTGTATGGAAATGGTTAATGTGTAGTGTTGCATGACCGCACAATTGTCAGCTAAGTAATGCAGTGCCGTATCTCAAAAAATGGCCTGGTCAGGAAGGGGGATACATTCTCTGGAGGGCAAGTGATTAATAAAAATCTGTTGAGAAGTTAAAGATACTGTAATGGAAAAAAGGCCAAATACCTGCTACATGCAATACAGTTACTGTGCCTACTTAAAGTGGAACTTTTTTTAATCCTCATTCTGTTAGCCTTAGTAAATATATAGGAAGATATATCATATTTGGTGCTTTAAATGTTTTTTTTCACATAGTTGCTATCTGGTTTCTGGCCTACATGATGTCATACATGCCATAAGTCTTTATGGGCATTTTTTCTTTCATCTAGAGGAGTGGAGGAGGGGCTTTCTCAGTTAAAGTGGTTGTAAAAGCTGAATGTTTTTTACCTTCATGCATTCTATGCATGAAGGTAAAAAACCTTCTGTGTGTAACAGTGCCCCCCAGCCCCCCCAATCCTTACCTGAGCCCCATCACGATCCAGCGATGTGAATGACAGCCTCGTCTGTCCCGGGTCTCTGCCTCCTCATTGGCTGAGACAGCAAGCGGGAGTCATTGGCACCCGCTGCTGCCAATCACAGCCAGTCAGCCAATGAGGAGAGAGAGGGGGTGGGGCTAAGCTGCGACTCCGTGTGTGTGTGTGAATGGACACACAGAACAATCACTTTAAGCACATCCTCCTGCCCTGAATGTCTGAGCTAAAGGCAGATGGATTCCAGAAAGTAAATGCTATATGAATCATCTGCTCTTACTCAGGATAGCCACAGTTTGAAATGCTAGGTAATGTTTTTCAAAGTGATTTCTCATTTAAATAAAGCATGGAGACACGGAAGGATTGGAGAGTTTACTTTGAATAATAAAAATGAATTAAATAGTGTTTTTGGTTTGTGGTGCTCAGATACAGTTAAGTGCTGCTTTAATAAACTCTAAACATTCATAAGCATGGTATGACAAACACTTTATGTTCATAAAATACCAAGTGTATAAGAGATGGCATCAGCACTACACTGGTATAAGGAGTCATGTAAGGTCATATCTTTAGTCAGCAAAACTTTACTGAGGTTCTAGAAGCCGAAAATCAACTAATACACTAAAGAAAGAATAGGATCACTTCCTTCTTAGTCACATAAATATGATGCACTTAGGTAGCAATACTAACATATTCAACAAAAGAAGCATTTCCGGTGCTCGCTAAAAGGGCAAGTTCTGTAAATCTAAACTGCTAAATACCTTTTCTCATCAGCAGTTAGAGCAGTCTTGTGACTTCAGCAGAGCATTGGTTAAAGCTTGTAGGAGGAGTTTTCTTTCTGCTCTAGGAGGATGTGAAACCCTTGAACCTCTCTGGATAGTGCTGATTGGCCCTGTGCTGATCACATGCACTCTCCCAAGAAAGAAAAAACCCTCTAAAGCAATACACACCAAACTGAGCATGTGCATGTAACTACAGATTCAGTCTGTATCAGGTGGTCATTTCAACAAGAGGAGGGGCAGAGAAGAAAAGATCAAATAGCCTTTTTACACAATGCAGAGGATTAACTCCTTAGGTTCCACAGTGAGTATAACAAGCATGCTTTACTGCATATACAGACTGATTTTACTGTTGTGGGTTTTGTTTTGTAACACTTTAAGGTTTGTAAGCAGCAATATATTCAAGTTTTCTTTATGAGTTTAACACTTTAAATGACTGTGCAACCAAGCAGCACTAACCACTACCATTTCAGTTAAATACTGGGCTGTTTGTAACCATCAAATAACTGTAATTAGAAACCTATGTAACAATTTCATATGTATAAAGCACCACCTAGTACGATGTGCCTGAATACTGTATATACCTGATAGGGACAGAAAGGACATAAAACAAGAGGAAAACAGAATGGCCAATTTATATATTCTGCCCTTAGCTTTAAAGGTTCAGTACTACAGTCCCCTCCATGTATACCAAAATGCAATAATATGTAGAAAGATGAAAAACAGATAGTTAGATAAATAGAACAGCCAATAAAAACAATAACAGAATATACTATATGTTAGAAACAACAAGGGGTTCACTACAGACAGGGCCCTGGATAAGGGGGTACCACCAGTCCTCCTGTATGGGGCCCAGGCCAGCAGGAGGGCCCAGGCAGCTGGGTTAATCAGATGTGGGCAGGGAGGGTGGCTTGTTCTCCTTTCCCTCCTGTTTTTCAGCTGCTGCAGAGAAAGCCATATAGGGAATCGGTTCCAAGATTTCCCTCATTGCACCCATCACCTTCCCTATGCACCATACATTTCCCCCTGCTGCCCAAGACCCCCTGTGTGCCCCCCACACTGCTGCCGGCTTTCCTCCTCTCCTTCCCACCAACATCTGCAAACACACAATAGGATGCTTCAGGATGGAGAGTGGGGGTAAATATGTCACATTTACCAGCCCCTTCCTTTCCTGAATGAACACAATGAGTGATCAGTAACAATCACTCACTGTGTTGATTCATAACTGAAGCATAGTAAACTAGATTTTATTTTTTTGGTGGGGGGGGCCCTGTCAGGTTGGCTGTGTTGGTTTCTAACAGCAGCCCTGACTACAGAGCTTTCTTAAAGAAGGCAGATTGGGATGGGGCTTAGACATGTGCACAGTGGATATTTTTTGTTTCCTTTGGAGTCAGCAGAGGTAGCTAAACCACTCTCTGTGTGTCTCATTGACACACAGAGGTAGTTCAGGAGTGCCCCCATAGCAAGCAGCTTGCACTGGGGGCACTCAGCACGGGGCAGAGGCCAGGAGCACCGGCGGGGAACCCAAGAAGAGGAGGATCGGGGCTACTCTGTACAAAACCATTGTGCAGAGTAGGTAAGTATAAAATTTTTGCTATTTTTTTAAAAAGTGAACATATAGTATCACTTTAAAGTCCAACTCCAACGATCACATTTTAGTGCCATTACAGTAAACAGTTTATTTTTTCTTTTAGTATAAAGGTTTTACATAAATGAAAAAAGCTGGTCATTGTAGCCCTGTCAGCGGTAGTTTGTTTGTCTTAACCCTCTAACTGCCATTTTTCTAGACTACTTGGTCTGTTAAAGGAAGTTGAAAAATAACAGATTTACTAGTCAGATCAACAGTTAATAAAACTATGTTATGGGTACAAGGGGGGTACTTAGAAAATCAAAGACTGCTGTTGTTAATGCTAGTGACAGACTGCACTGTATGCCATGTTTGTTTTTGCCCATAGTTCCACTTTAGGAAAACCATAGACATCACTTAGTGTAGCCTATATACGTGGCCTGTATTGTCATGTACACTAGGATAACCCACGTATGCATGCTTATTAAAAAAATGATATTTGTTATATATTATACAATTATAAATTATATTAGCTGTTATTATTAAGAATGAATACATAATTATTTGCAGTACCATTGTTTTACTTTTGGCCAATATAATGTTGCCTGTTGAAAACATTCCTTTTTTCAAATTTGTCATGAGTATGTTTTTTTGTCAAATCCTTTATATCTCTGGGAATCTTTTCCAGTCTATAGCTTTCAGAAGCTTCAGGTATTATATATTGTATTTTGCAGTATATATAGCTGAAGGCAATACATAATATGCAAAATATGTGTTTTTTTTTTTAGAAACAGGCTCTCGCAAGTATGTGTAGTTCTTACAGGTATAACTGAAAGAGCAGCCTACCATTGACGAGCTGTGACAGCAGCAGAAGAACAAGGACTGATTTATTGTTCTTAGTAGTTATAAACCCAAAAACAAAAAAAGGAATTTATTGTAGTTTACCAATCCCTAAATGTAGGGGGTGGGGGGTGCCTTAGTTTCCTTTTTTCAGACTTTTTCCCCTTTACTTTCACCTGGTGATGTGGCTAGTAACCAGGGGCGGACTGACAGCTCATGGGGCCCCCAGGCAATAGGGGATCATGGGGCCCCTGTGTCCTTGCCCACACTCAAACCACACCCAAAAAAGCCTATGAAAGGTACCAGGGGCATCTCATGGGGCCCCATACTGACCCCGGGTGCTTGGGCAGTTCCCGAATGGTCAGTCTGCCCCTGCTAGTAACACACTTCCAGAGGAATTCATAAAGGGTGTTGTAGACATTTAGAATTTTGTTGGTCGCCCCATCGAAAGAATGTGCTCGATTCATGTACCTGTCACGGACAGACACATTAATATGCAGGTGCTGAGCACTGAGCTCAGACTGTCCATACTGGACAATCCTACCTCAATGTGTTCCCTCCCCAGGCATTGCACTAATCATACCCAATGGTACATGGACTTTGCCATTTTTGGGAATGACATGACCACTATTCTCGGCCCCTTTGTTTAGTTTTGAGCCGGGGCTCTCCTAGCCAAAAACTAAATGAGACCAGGGATGTGTGGGAAACTGTCACATATTGTACATGACACCTTTCCAGCACGCTCATGGGTTTGTATTACTCACCTCCAACCCCTTATACTTACTTGAGTCCTATCTCGATCCGGCACTGTGCCCGTCTGCCATGGCTCTCTCCTCAAAGGCAGCAGTGGAAGCCATTGGCTCCTGCTGCTGTCAATTAAATCCTGTGTGCAGAGAGTGAGGGGGTGGGGCTGTGCTACACTGTGTCTGTCAAAAGACACACACAGCCCAGCTTGGCATTGAGCCCGCAGGTGTGCCCCCATAGGAAGTGGCTTCCTATGAAGGCACACTGGGAAGAGGAGAAGCCTGGAGTGCTGGCGAGGGACCCTGGAAGAGTAGGTTTGGGGTTGCCCTGTGCAATACCAATTCAAAGAGCAGGTAAGTATTACATGTTTGTTATTTTCCACAAAAAAAATACACTTTTACAAATGCTTTAAGACCAAATGCCTGCTATCACTTTTTAAAGTGGTTGTTAAGGCTCAAGGTTTTTTACCTTCATGCATATTATGCAACCATTTGTTTTACCTTTTGGGATAAAGATTTTACATAAATGAATAAGCATTCCCCTCAGTGGTACGTGGTTTGTCTCAACCCTCTAATTGTCACTTTTTCTGGACAGCTTGATCTGTTATGCTCCATGTACACGGGACATTTCTGAATGATGCAAACTGACTGCTGGAAAATGTAGGTTAAAAAACGTCTGTTTAGCCGCGTTTCCAAACCGCGTTTATGAGCGTTTGCGTTTAGAAGCATTTTTTAAAGATAACCTCAGGAGACCTTCCCAAATGCCCAGAATGCACTGAAAAAAAGTAAATAATTTACTATTTCAGACATTTTGAGAGAAATAGAGAGAGCAGAAGCAGAGAGAGCAGGATTTGCTGAGATTAGCTGTCTTTTTTTTTTTTTTTGTGGTGTTTGGATGTGTTCCAGCTCATTTCTGTGCATAAATTATTGTAGCAGTGTCTAACATATTTTCTTTCATGCGAAACCTCAAAGTATGGTGTACCAGGTCCATTTGAATACCTGGAAAACGCTTTGCATGGATTTTTCATGATGAAAAAAAGGCTCTGGACAGCATCTGGAAATGGAAGAGCTAAAAAAAATTTCCAAATGCAAACGCTTATAAACACTGTTAGCCACATTTACACGCGTTTACGAGCATTTGAAATGCTGATAAAATCTACTCCTGAACGCAAGTTTGGTTTAAAAAAAACGACTGTAAATGACGATGTGTACATGGACACATAGAAACATTAGGGAGAGTCCAGGGGCTGCTGCAAAAATGCAGAAAGGCTCCTAAACGTGAGTTTATCAGCTGCAGTGTACATGGAGCCCAGGGGCGGACTGAAAACTCATGGGGCCCCGGGCAATAGGAGACCATGGGGCCCCTGTGTCCTTTCCTACACTCAAAAAAGCCTATAAAAAAGGTACCAGGGGCATTTCATGGGGCCCCCTACTGACCCCGGGCCCTCGGGCAGTGCCCAAGTGCTCGAATGGTCAGTCCGCCCCTGATGGAGCCTTAAAGGTTTTGACCAGAGCGAGCAAAAAAAAGGACAAGGAAGGAAAATTTTTGTTGAAGCTAATGGGAACGAATTAACTTTTAATTGTTGAATTAATGAATGCACTCCAAGAAACATCACTAGCCTTATGCACATGTACATGTCAAAGGTAATCCAAAAGTAGAACATTTGTTTTACGAAAACCAAAACATTGATGTGGTATGCAAATGAAACGTATCTATTCTTATAAAAATGCACTTGTCAAAGGTAATCCAGAAGTAGAATGTTCATTTCACAAAAATCAAGACATTGACATGGCACTCATATGAAAAGTCGTTCAAAATGAATTGAGTTCATTAGGTTACCATAAAATGGATTGATAAATAATTTTTACATTTTCTTGTTTGAATTTTTAAATGCAATTCTGAAGGTGTAAGACCAGCTTTAATAGCTGGATTACCAAGTGAGAAAAAAAGAAAAAAAGAAGATTCGCAAAAAAAATGCAAAATCTGAGCTGCTTGTATTAAAGTGATATTAAACCCAAAATATAAATGTAATACAAGGCAGCTTACCAATTCTTAGATGTGGATTCTTAGTTTTTTACTAATGCAGCCTCCACATCTAAGAATTGGTAAACTGCCTTGTATTACATTTATATTTTGGGTTTAATATCACTTTAATACAAGCAGCTCAGATTTTGCCTTTTATTTGCGAATCTCCACTAGAAAAATAACAAGTAGCTCTAGTGACTAGTAGCTGTGGGAACGCAGATACAATTATTTCCTCCAACTTAATATAAATCAGTCTAGTAGCAATGATATACTACTGACAGGACCACACCTGTATAATGCTTTACAAGGAAGACACTTTCTTCATTGTAATCATTTTATTGGGAGCAGTCAAGTCTTTTATGGATGACCTTTCCTCCTTGTTAACTTGCAGTAGTAAAAAGCTTGGCTATGGAACAATTACAATGTGCTTAGAGACGTTTACGTTGGCATACTCCTAACATATCCCCATAAGTAGGAGTCTATGAGAGAACAGACCACCAAAGGGCAGTTGCAGCTAGCCCCGTGTTTTCAGCTTCCAAGGTTGCTGGCTTAATTAAAGAAGATATTCTGCATGCCTGGAGAACCAACAATTCCCCATGGTCCCCTTCTGCTCTGCTCATGACCTTTCAGCATTTCCACTCAGAGCTCAGTTAAGTATAGTAAAGCACATTATTTATAACAGCTGCCAATGCCTTATGGCCTTATTCAGATACCGTAAATATTTTCATGTTTTCACCAATCATACATGCTGCCTCCCCTCGCATTCCATGCCACATCCACAACGATGTATTTATCAAGTACGGGATAAGCCCACCGCATCTTGTTGCATAGAAAACAAGTTGCACCTGTCCAAAGGATAACATTTGTAACATGACAGTGTAAAATTTACCCGCCCCACATTTGGTTTTGCAACTGGGCACACAATCACCCATAGAGAGATGTGGTTATGTATGGTCCTTCTGTCCACTTATACTGTAATATATTGTTATATTATCTGCCATTAGAACTATTTAGCTATCTACTGCAGGGGGGGACTGATCATTTGGAAACTTGGGCACCGCCCGAGGGCCCGGGGTCAGTAGGGGGCCCCATGAGATGCCCCTGGTACCTTTTTCATAGGCTTTTTTGAGTTTGGGCAAGGACACAGGGGCCCCATGATCCCCTATTGCCCGAGGGCCCCATGAGTTGTCAGTCCGCCCCTGGTCTACTGTATCTCTCATCTATCCTCCTATAGAATGATACTGAAAGGCAGTGAGAAAAATGTAAGGCGTTGTGTGTGTGCATATGTAGCACCTCCTAGTTAGGTGCTAGGATGTGTATAGTTAGGCTAAGCATAGCTGTGTTTCTCTGCTTACCAGGGAGACTGTCGGGTAAATTCAGTGTGGTATTCTGCTTGACAGAGTGCTGTGGTTGATGAGTTGGGTCTGCCCGTGTTGCTCTGGTGCTGATGATGGAGTTTGTCTGGGTTCTGCCCACCTTCGTGAGGCTGTGATAGCCTTCCGGGCATGGGTGGGGACTGGGCAGATGAGCAGCACGAATGTGGATGCAACCCTTGCCAATTGCAGGGTAAGGAAATCCCATTGCATGCTGGGAGTGGTATTTATATTTTGAGAGCACATGGGTTCAGTGTCTATCCCAGGAGTGAATCGGACCAGCCAGGCTGGAGGCAGGCTGCCTCGTCTGGCACTTGCTGCCATGTGGCCTCAGATGAGTCAACCTGAGGGCCTGAAGCTAGAGAGTGACCCTGGTTTTTCAGGAAGCTGACTAAGTGGAGTTGTCTGCCAAGACTCTGTCTGGTATCACTGGAGGGTTTCTGTCAGGGACCTTGTTGCCGTGCAGCCGTGCGACGGCGACAGGTCCCTTCGGGTCGTGGCGGTGCAAGTGCGCATGCGTGGGAGCGTAGAAGTGCGTGGGAGTAGTAGAGTCCGCGGCACAGCTAGACGGGCTATTTAAACCTGCAATACAGTACAATCAATGCCTTTTGGTCTACAACATTCCTGCACATAATACCTGATCCTGTTGCCCGTATTCTGATTTGCCTGACTAAGAAAGAACTCTGCCTGCACTGACCTCGGCTGTCCCTGACCATCCGCTTGCCTGCTCCCTTGTACTTGATCTGCCTGCTTAATACTGACCCGGCTTGTTTAACCCTCTGTATCTACATACCCGCACCTGCACCTGGCTTGCATTCTGACGGCTGTCATACTTACCTGCCGCTGCACCCACGGTCCTGGTTCTGGCTTTATATCCGGACGTGTGCCCAGGGGCGGACTGACAACTCATGGGGCCAACGGGCAATAGGGGATCACGGGGCCCCTGTGTCCTTGCCCACACCCAAAAAAGCCTATGAAAAAGCCAAGGAAAAGTACCAGGGGCATCTCATGGGGCCACCTACTGACCCCGGGCCCTTGGGCAGTGCCCGAGTGCTCAAATGGTCAGTTCGCCCCTGCGTGTGCCATACTTACCTGCCGCTGCACCCACGGTCCTGCATCTGGCTTGTATCCTGACGTGTGCCATACTTGCCTGCCGCTGCACCCACGGATCTGCACCTGGCCTGCATCCTGGTCACCTCCATACCAGCCTGCTACTGCACCCACGCCCCAGGTCCAGCCCCAGTCTGCACCCTGATTGTCGCCACACCTGCCTGCTACTGCACCTACGTTCCTACATCCGCACCTGGCCTGCATCCGGATCTCCTGGGTCTTCCGCTACCTGCCGCCAGCTCCAGATCCACCCGGCACTCTTGCCACTCCTGACTCTGCGCCCTCTGTTCCCACTATCAGGGGCTCAGAGCGGGAGTCGTAAGAGGACTCCTCTCCACGTCAGGCTCCCCAACCAGGTACATGACAGTTTCGCTTGGAAGATTGGAAGGAGGCAACCATTCTATCCTTGGGCCTTGTGAGTACTGACATTGAGGAACTTGGGGACACTGTGTGCTTGCTACCTCCCCTGGGGTTTGATAGTCAGCGTGAGTCTGGAAAAAGGGAACACTGGCTAGTGTTCTGCAGAGCTTGTCCATGTTTTGTTACTGCAAAGGATTTTGCTAAGCACATTATCTTTGGGCTGACACAGGCTGTCGTAACTGGCTTATACCTAAGGAACTCAGCCCTGTAACTGCTACTACTGCTAAAGGGACTTTGCTCACTCCTAAACTACTTACTGCTATATGTGACAAAGGGAAGTCTGCTATCTAATGACAGGCAAAACTTCATAACTAAGATGTTATATACAGTGGGGATCGAAAGTTTGGGCACCCCAGCTAAAAATTTGTATTAATGTGCATAAAGAAGCCAAGGAAAGATGGAAAAATCTCCAAAAGGCATCAAATTACAGATTAGACATTCTTATAATATGTCAACAAAAGTTAGATTTTATTTCCATCATTTACACTTTCAAAATAACAGAAAACAAAAAAATGGCGTCTGCAAAAGTTTGGGCACCCTGCAGAATTTATAGCATGCACTGCCCCCTTTGCAAAGCTGAGACCTGCCAGTGTCATGGATTGTTCTCAATCATCGTCTGGGAAGACCAGGTGATGTCAATCTCAAAGGTTTTAAATGCCCAGACTCATCTGACCTTGCCCCAACAATCAGCACCATGGGTTCTTCTAAGCAGTTGTCTAGAAAACTGAAACTGAAAATAGTTGATGCTCACAAAGCTGGAGAAGGCTATAAGAAGATAGCAAAGCGTTTTCAGATGTCAATATCCTCTGTTCAGAATGTAATTAAGAAATGGCAGTCATCAGAAACAGGGGAAGTTAAAGCAACATCTGGAAGACCAAGAAAAATATCAGACAGAACAGCTCGCAGGATTGTGAGAAAAACAATTCAAAACCCACGTTTGACTGCACGATCCCTCCAGAAAGATCTGGCAGACACTGGAGTTGTGGTACACTATTCCACTATAAAGAGATACTTGTACAAATATGGTCTTCATGGAAGAGTCATCAGAAGAAAACCTCTTCTACGTCCTCACCACAAAAATCATCGTTTGAACTTTGCAAATGAACATATAGACAAGCCTGATGCATTTTGGAAACAAGTTCTGTGGACCGATGAGGTTAAAATTGAACTTTTTGGGCGGAATGAGCAAAGGTACGTTTGGAGAAGAAGGGGCACAGAATTTAATGAAAAGAACCTCTGTCCAACTGTTAAGCATGGGGTTGGATCAATCATGCTTTGGGGTTGTGTTGCAGCCAGTGCACAGGGAACATCTCACGAGTAGAAGGAAAAATGGATTCAATAAAATTTCAGCAAATTTTGGATGGTAACTTGATGCCATCTGTGAAAAAGCTAAAGTTAAAGAGAGGACGGCTTCTACAAATGGATAATGATCCTAAACACACCTCGAAATCCATGGGGGATTACATCAAGAGGCGTAAACTGAAGGTTTTGCCATGGCCTTCACAATCTCCTGACCTCAACATAATTGAAAATCTATGGATAGACCTTAAAAGAGCAGTGCGTGACAGACAGCCCAGAAATCTCAAAGAACTGGAAGACTTTTGTAAGGAAGAATGGGCAAAGATACCTCAAACAAGAATTGAAAGACTCTTGGCTGGCTACAAAAAGCGTTTACAAGCTGTGATACTTGCCAAAGGGGGCAGTACAAGATATTAACTCTGCAGGGTGCCCAAACTTTTGCAGACACCATTTTTTTGTTTTCTGTTATTTTGAAAGTGTAAATGATGGAAATAAAAATCTAACTTTTGTTGACATATTATAAGAATGTCTAATCTGTAATTTGATGCCTTTTGGAGATTTTTCCATCTTTCCTTGGCTTCTTTATGCACATTAATACAAATTTTTAGCTGGGGTGCCCAAACTTTCGATCCCCACTGTAGATGTCCTCAGTGTGAATAGTTCTGATTTGTAGTATCCAGTACAATTCCCCATCCCTATCCCCAGATCTACAATAAACTCCAAAAACAAAACATCCCCTAAACTGGTCACTGAAGCTAATGAGCGGATGTGTGTGTGTATTTGGCTGAAGAAATACAGTGTGCCTGGCTGCGGGGCAAAGTAAGGGGAAACCGGTGTAACAAACAAGTGGCTCTTGTGGGGGTAGTGCTACACATATATACACACAAAGTGGTTAGCACTTCCACCTAGCAGCACTAAGGTCATCGGTTCACAATCCCAACCACGGCACTCCCTGTGTGGAGTTTGTATGTTCTTCCTGTGCCTGCATGGGTTTCCTCCCACATGCCAAAGGTAGGTAAATTGGCCTTAGTATGTGTACATGTATGAATGTCAGTTAGGGACCTTAGATTGTAAACTCCTTGAGAGCAGAGACTGATGTGAATGTACAATATATATGTAAAGGGCTGTGTAAATTGATGGTGTTATATAAGTCCCTGAAACAAATAAAAATATATATAATTTATCACTTGACAATCGCAATACGTATATAAACATTGCAGTTTTCAAGTGGTTTACCGGGGTTATGGCTGAGGAAATCAACCATAACCCCGGTACCATTTTTTTCAGCAGATTGCCAGCTTTCACATGAATGTGGTCCTAGCGTCTCTTGAGCCACTGGATTACTTTCCGTAGCGGTAGAAGGGGACGTTCCCCCCACAGCTCGCCAGTGTTTTTGACCCCAAATCTCTTCTTAAAGAGGACCTGTCATGCATATTTTTATTACAAGGGATGTTTACATTCTTTGTAATAGGAATAAAAGTGATTTTAAAAAATAATAATTAAAGGGACAGTGTAAAAATAAAAAAAATTTTTAAGCTCTCCCACCCCACCGTGCTTGCGTGTACAAACGAACGAATACGTAAATCATGCACGCATATGTAAACGGTGTTCACAGCACACATGTGAGGTATTGCTGTGAATCTTAGAGCGAGAGCAATCATTCTAGTGCTAGACCTCTTCTGTAACTCTAAACAAGTAACCTGTAAAAATGTTTAGCCTCCCTGGAGGTATTCCCGAGTGTAGCTCGGGGTAAAGTTTCAGTACCACAAGCGGTAACCCCGAGCTACACTCGGGCTTACCATGCGGCGCTGCTCCGCGATCCCTCGATCACTTACCTTGTCCTTCGTTCCCGCGATGTCCCTCCTGCAGTGTCCCCGGCAATGTAATCCGGCGGATGCCGGCATCTGTCATCTGGGTTCCGTCCCCTGCAAGCGTCGGGACGTACGGGGGATGGAACGGCGGGAAATTTGAAAATGACAAAAGGTGACATTCACTAAATCACATAGTAAAACATTACTGTATCAAACCATTTCACATACATTTTGTCCCGAGTGCTTTGTCCTGTGCCCTGCCTGCATTTTTACTGTTCTTTCTGCCTGGAAACTGAGAAACCTCCATGGCATCCAAAAAGCGTCCCTTTAGGTCAAAAGCGGTTTTAGACCAGCTAGAGAACCACTACCAGCTAGTAAATTAGAACTACTTGCAGAATTGAGTGATAATGATTCGTGGGGAAATTCGTCATCACACACTGAAAACGATTTTGCGACTTTGCTCAGTGATGTGCGAACTTGGCGCTATATTTCAAATTTCAGTGTTTTGGGTTTGATTATATTATTGAATTCAATTTATTATTATTATATTATTTTTTGTGATTATTTATTAAATTATAATTTATGATTTCGTGTTTCAAGTTTTATCCTACCCGGGATGTTTACTAGACTCTGGTTTGGACAGATTTAAGTGAGTTATTCCTAAGAATTACAGGCCTACAATATAAAATGCTAAATTTCCATGCAAAATAATGGTACCGCTTTCAGCACCAAAAATCTGAAATAATCATACCGCCAGGGAGGTTTAAGTGTTGCCTATGGATATTTTTAAGTACGGTAGTTTGTCGCCATTCCACAACCGTGCGCAATTTTACAGCATGACATGTTAGGTATCTATTTACACGCTGTAACATCCTCTTTTATATTTAAAAAAAAATGGGTAACTCTTGTGTTTTGTTTTTCTTTAAATTTACAAAATTGTATTTTTTGAAAAACAATTGCGTTTGAAAAACCGCAGCACAAATACCATGTGACATAAAAGATTGCAATGATCGACATTTCATTCTCTAGGGTCTTTGCATATATATGTATATATATATATATATATATATATATATATATATAATGTTTGGGGGTTCTACGTAAGTTTCTAGCAAAAAACACCAATTTATACTTGTAAACAAAACATCCCAGTAAATGCTCATTCTTAAAGTGGTTAAAGCCTAAGCACTACTTTGACTTGGTCAATGGATCGGGAGCATGTCAAATGTTGTCATCCCACATGTTTCAGAAATAAGACCCAATTCCTAACAACAAAAGTAGAGCAATATATTATTGTCATGTTTTATTTGCTTCTTTATATGACTAAAATTTATTTTTTTCAATCCAGTACCCTCGTGCAGGATATTAAAGTAGAACTATAGGCAACACTTGTTTATATAATTTTGGATAGAGTAAGGCAGGGTTATAACCCCGGTCAGATATTTTTTTTTGCCATCTGTGTCCCATTGATTTCCCATAGCCAAACAGGAAGCGAGAGGAAAATTAAATT